AAACCAAACCAAACCAAACCCAGAGGTTGTCATTCTGGGCAGCAGACAATAAAATAGGTTTATCCCTTTACATTCATGGGAAAACCGATAGTTTATAACTGATATTATATTATTTATAACTGATAATTTAATATATATACATTTTTTGATACTAGGAATCAAACTCAGGACCTCACACTTGCCAGTCAGGCACTGTGCCACTGGTTAACCCTGACCCATGATAAATATTATTTATAACTCATAAATAAGAGCCTTTTAGTTCTAATTTTTATTGTCTAGAATTGGGAAATTCTCTTTACACTTAGCAATGCTCTCTTCATTTCCAAGGAGTTTTCAGTGGAAGTCTGAGTTCTGATGTGTTATTATCATGCACTAATGTGAATTAATCTTCTTGGTAAAATGAACACCCAAACTCATTTGGATTCAGTTAATGTTTATTCCAAGACTCTGAAGAGCTGGCAGAGACTTAGGCAAGAAAAATGTGTCTATTTCTCCCCATATGCCTACTGTTTGAGTTAAATATACCAGAGATTGTCTTTATTTGGCCTAGATAATGATTTGCTTTTTTAGCAGTATTTTTTTGGGGGGAGTGTATCAGGAATCGAACTCGGGGTCAGGCAGGTGCTGTGCCCCTGAGCTATATCCCCACCCCTAGCAGCATTCTAAAACTTCTGGGGTTGATTTATTTATTTTTGGAGACAGAGTCTGACAATGTAGGTCAGGCTGGCCTTGGATTGTAACAATCCTCCTGCCTCAGCCTCCCAAATGATAAGATAGGCACCACCATGCCTGGCTGGGGGTTAATTTTTTTCCAAACTTATTTCAAGTCTTTGTCTTGGTAACAAATTGATTAATTCAAGACAATTTAGATAGCCATTTGCTTCATGTGAGAAAGGGGCAACAATTTTAATTATTTAAAGTTCATTAAATTTTTCAGGGGTGACTTTGGGAACCAACTTAACGCCTTTACAAAATTAATCAGATTTTCAGTGATGACTACCAACCCAAGTAGCAAATCACATCCCCGGACATTTTATTTTAGCCTGGGTGTGGTGGCGTCATCCTAGCACTGAGCGGGCTGAGGCAGGAGGATGAGCGCGGATGCCAGGCTAACCTGGGGTACACAATGAGTTCAAGAACAGCCTGAACTACGCATCATGACCCTGTCTCACCTTCTCCACTGTCCCAAATAAATGAAAAACAAAATGGAATTCAGGTAGTGTATATGCTACCTGCCAATGCACCAGCATCTGTCCCACTGTGGCTGGGCTAGTGGCCGTGGGGCCCCAAGGCGTCTGCTTCCAGTGAGGCTGAGCCACACAGGCCTCTGGACAGTCAGTGGGAATCAGAGACACAGAAACTCTTTGCATTTTTATTAAGGGTCCAAGTGGAAACCCAGAGCAACGTATGCTAGCAGGTAACAACAAGCACTTCGGTTCCACACATTTAGGGTTAAAGCCTGGCTGTCTGACAGGATTGATCACCTGATACTGGTAACTTCATGTGTTAAGAGGGACATGAGTATCAATTTCACAGCCTGCTACAAGATAAAATGAAAACACTTTGCACAGTTCCTGGACATGGTAAGACTCAGTGGATTGTGGTGATTTGTTAACCTTCGGATTCAGAGGTCTGATTTCTTTTTTTTTGACACAGAGTCTTTCTATGCAGTTCAGGTTCACTATGTAGCCCAGGTTGGCCTCAAACTCACAGTGAAGCCTCCTGCCTCAGCCTTTCAAGTGCTGGATAACAGGCATCCACCACCAAGACAAGCACAGAGGTCTGATTTCTGACTGCAAGTTTTCACATAAGGTCACCATCCATAGCATTAGGCTAATGTTTTTCTTCTCCCTTTGCCTTCTTCTATCCTTCCTTCCTTTTTTAATTTTATTTTTTTTTCCTTTCTTAAAAATGTTTTAGCCTAGAACTATTCTTTGAAGAAAACAGAAATAAAAGGTTAGATTCTATGTCTATTTAACAAAAATACTCATTTTAAGGAACCTACACAGAAGTGATCAATGCAGAGTCGATTTTAAAGAAATTTAACTGGGAAGATCCCATTATGACTGGAAAGCAACTGAAAGCTTCTGCAGCCAAAGGTTTCCCAGAAAGCCAGAGCAGAGGCCGGCCTGACTCAGTGTTGCCTTGGCAACAGAAGGGCCGGGTGAGCCCTTAATCTGAGGAGCCCCATGTGGCCTCCAGAGCAGGCTCCTGACACCAGGCTGCAGAAGCTTCACAGCACGGATTCTGAGGGACAGGGAAGGTGGAGACTTCCCCTGTGGCCAAGCACCCAAAGCTCAGTTAGGAGGAGGAAGCCAGGAAATCACCAGATCCCAAGTGCTGGCAAAGTAGCCCACAGCTTTCAAGGTCTCTATCTTTCTCCATGGAGCCTAGCACAATGCCCTGTACACAGTGGTGCATAATAAATGCAACTTGTGTGTGTGTGTGTGTGTGTGTGTGTGTGTGTGTGTTTCTCTAGGACAGTGACCATCCCAAAGGTGCCTGATGTGCGCCTGTTCACATCTGTTGAGTTGACCAGAGACAATCCAGCTCTTGTCTTCTGAATGTTTCCAGCTGTTGAAAGACAGAGCTAGCAGGGAATGGTGATGCACAGCTGTAATTAGGAAGCTGAGACAGGAAGATCACTGTGAGTTCAAGGCCATGAACTACATGGTGAGACGGTCTCAAAACAACAGCAACAAAAAACCAAACAAACAGAAATAACCATTCCTCACGGAGCCACTGGCAACTGGTAACTTAGGAGTTAGCAAGTCTGACTGTTTAGTTAGGGACACTCAAGAAAATCACTATGAAAGAGAACCAGAAAACCCAGCGAGGTGAGCTCCTACCTGTAGCAAACTCTAGGGTGGAAGAACAGGTGGTCACACCAACCCGCTATGAGTTCAAGGGAAAGGGTGTAATTGCCTGTGGGGTTTGCTTTGAACTTGGTCATAGGTCAATAATTTTCTGCTCTAGCCCACTGAAGAGATTTCCTTCTCAGGGATCACTTCTTCTAGGACATACTGAACTTGTTTTTATACTTACTGCCTCAGAATCCAACACTGTTATTGACTGATGAATGACTGAGACAGGATCTCATCGGGTAGCCCAGGCTGCCTTAACTCAGAAAGATGGGGTTAGAACTAAGGAAGAGGAAGTACAAGTACAGAGATCCCTGGCAGCCCAGCTCGGTATCAGAAACCCCATTCTTTCACAAGACTGGGTTTAATGTTTTCAGTTTTATTTTTGGTACCAGGGATCGAACTCACAACCTTATACTCACCAGGCAGGTGCTTACACCACTAAGCTAAATCCCTGGTTCCAGTTTAATGTCTTCAAAAACTAGATTTCCTAAGAAAGAAAGGCTCCTAAACTTTGTTTCTTTCCACCACCTCACGGACCATCTGAGGTCACTCGGAATCTCTGTGCACTCTGGAGGCCCTGGACCCTCCAACTCCTGGCCCAGTGGAGACTGGAGCACTACCCTCCACCAATTACATGCAAAACATCTCCCCTAACACCTGCCATGTTTGGAGGAACCATTTCCTCTGCCTCCCTTTCAACTTCCACTGACCACTTTCGTGGTCTGAGACCTGCCTGAGGAACACAGCCGTCTTACCCTGCTGTCTGTCCTTCCCCATCCAACCAGTCACACACCCCTTGGCGTGGTCCCTTTCCTGCTCAAACCTCCAGTCTCGATTATAACATCCAATTCAGACCCAAAAGCTCTCTGCGCCCCCAGGCTGCTCCAAGCCAACATCCGGATCCTGCTTTTCCCCACCTGGGACCTTCTCCAGCTCAGTGAGTTCTGCACTCACTGCTTGGAAGCACCCTTGGTACCTCCCTGCCACAATTTTGCTCTGTCTGCAGAAATCTCCTCCTCCAACTGGTCCAGTGGGGGCCCCCTGTTGCTGAGGGGGTGGGATTTCCCAGCCCCGCAGTCTACCTGCCCCCTCAGGGTTACTGCACCTGGCTGTGATTTCTGCTCGTTCCTCTCCAGCTGCTTCTTGCCCTGGCTGCTGACTCTGCCACTGCCTAAGAGATCCACAGTGCAAATGCAAGAGCTTGTGCTTTCAGTGAATCAAGTGGTGCTTTCTCCCCCCAGACCCCTTCGGAGACCTCCTTTACATGCGGACACAACCCCACATGCCTCACTCCGCCATGGAGCTCTCCTCTGGAGCTGGGAGCTTGCCAGTCTCCACTTGTCCCTTCTGATCACCAGAGCCCTCTGGTTCCGCCAAGCGCAACAGCAGCAGAGCGGGTGACAGCTGTGGAGGAAACGCCAAGCGCCTGAGTTTCTGTCTAAGAGACAGCAAAGGCCCCCCGGAAATGCCTGAGCCTGAGGAGCAGCATCCTGCAGAGCTCTCAGTACAGCCAGCGTAGTTTGGGTGTCAAAAAGCAGAACCTCTAACTGCTGTCTTTGTGGCTGCTCCAGACGTTTGTGCCAGGGTTTCTGCACCCTGATCGCTGCCTCTTTACTCAGTCACCTCACACAGCTATGGGCAGCTCAGGCCCAGAGGGAAGCACCCGTTTTTGGCCACAGGATTTTCTTTCCAGATCACTCCAAACCTGGCGGCCTCTCACTCGCCCTGACACACTGGTCAAGCAGGCCCTGTCCCATCCTGAACACCCCAGTCCCAGTGGACACCAGGGCAAAAGGTCAGCAAGTAGCCGGAGCTTCCATTCTTCCGGGACTCGTAAAGCCTTCAGGTCGCTCAGTGCTGTTCCTGCCTCCGACCTGATAGTCCGCAGGACCTGCAGGGACAACGGGCACTCAGAGGGACGTCACTGGGTGTGCGTCCCTGGGGCCACCTTCTCAGCCCCTCCCCTGCAAAACCGGACAAAAATGGCAAACAGGAAACGCTCATCTTTTAAAAATTACTCTATTATTATCAAATAGAACCACAGTATCCAAAAGGTAATTATAAAGTTCTATCCAACTAAACGGCCCTGCACCGCCCCTCTGAGTGGCCACGGCCAAATCACTCCCCCCGCGCCAATTGGTTTCATTCATTTTATTGTCAAGGAAATGAACAGCCCAGAGGGGTCCCCAGGCCCCACACTCCCCACTGAGGTCCCGGGGAGACAGGCAGCAGTGCCCTGGGCTCACGACCCGCATTCTGGGGCGGGGCGGAGGGTCAGGAGGGGAAAGGGGCTCACAGCAGAGGGGCTCGGGTAGCGCGTGCGTGCAGGTGCGGCAGCCCGGGCAGGTGTCCCAGGGGCGAGGCCGCGTACCTGGCCAGCGCGCGCTCACTCGCCCGTGTGGGTCCGCAGGTGGTACTTGAGGGACTGCTTGTAGCGGAAGCACTTGGCGCAGTGCGTACAGGGGTAGGGCCGCTCGCCCGTGTGCGCGCGCTGGTGCTCCAGCAGGTGGTGTTTCTGCGTGAAGCGCTTGCCGCACTCTGCGCAGTGGTAGGGCCGCTCGCCCGTGTGGATGCGCCGGTGCTCCAGCAAGTGGTGCTTGCGGATGAAGCTCTTGCCGCACTCGGGGCAGGCGTGTGGCCGCTCGCGCGAGTGCACTCGGCAGTGGTTGGTGAGCTTGGACTTCTCGCTAAAGCTCTTCTCGCACTCGGGGCACTTGAAGGGCCGCTCGCCTGTGTGAGTCCGCTGGTGGCGCAGCAGGTGCGACGGGCGGCTGAAGCTCTTGCCGCACAGGCTGCAGATGAACGAGACCTCGTGCTTGCCTGCGTGCACACGTTGGTGGATCACCAGGCTGATGTGCAAGCGGAAGCTCTTCTTGCACTCCGGGCACGTGTAGGGCCGCTCGCCTGTGTGTGTGATCTGGTGCTTGGTCAGGCTGGACTTGTGGCTGAAGCTACTGTCGCACTCTGGGCACTTGTAGGGCTTGGGGCCGCCACCACCGCTGCCCGAGCTAGGTGACTTGGGGTGCGGCTTGAGTGAATGCTTGGGGGTGAAAGCGGGGCTGCGCTCGGGCGAGTAGCTGCCGCCACGAACTCGGTGGATACGCTGGTGCAGCGTGAGCTGCTGCTTGTGCCGGAAGCTGATCTCGCACTCGGCGCACTCATATGGCCCCTCCTTGATGTGGTTGCGCTGGTGGATGATGAGGTTGATCTTCAACCGGAAGCTCTTGCCACACTCCATGCACGTGAAGGGCCGCTCACCTCGCCGGTTTCGCTGCTGCTGGTTTGAGGACCCGCGGTTCTCACCCAGGTGCCGCTCACCGTGCGTGTGCCCGTGCCCGTGCCCATGCCCGTGCCCGTGCCCATGGGAGTGCGAGTGTGAGTGCGAGGGGGGCGCCAGCCTCTTCACTGCTGGGTTTCCTAGCTGTAGCGGTGGGGGGCTCTCCTCACCCTCCGGGGACATCTCCCCAGGCAGTGGGGTAGGGTACATGCTGGCCTCGTATCTCCCGGACAGCTGCCCAAGGGACTGCAGGTGCTGGGGCAGCTCGTCGTCCTCATCGTCCTCCTCCTCCTCTTCCTCCTGCTCCTCAGTCTTTATCACGATGCCTTCTGCGCCAAGGACAGAGACAGACAGAAGAGTTAGCTGGCGCCTTGCACCTGGACTGGGTGCAGCAGAGCAGACCCGGTTCTCACCCTGACACGCCTATGCTCTGCAGTGTCGGCCCAAGTTCCCTCGTTCTCACTCCCTGCAACCCACAGCCCTCACCCGAATGGGCTGGAAGTATAACCCCATGGCAGCTGGTCCAGGAAGGAGCCCAGAGCTAAGGAGGTCTGGGGTGGGGTGGGCTGCAGCCAGCAGAGAAGGAAGAAAATCAGGGGAGGAGCCCACAGGGCCACCAGACCCAGCCTGGCCTGAACCTGTAGGATTCATACTAGCCCACAGGCACCCTCTTTCACATAGCTCCTGGGGTGCCTGCAGGCTGCATCAAAAGGTCTTCACTTACTCATCTTCAGGATGGTCACCTGAACTCTGCTCAGCTGGACCCACTCCCTTTCTGAACTCCCATGGACTGCTCTTCCCATGCCTTCACTCTCCGACCTCCACCAAGGCAGCTCCTCAGCCTGCGTGTCCTCCTCGGGGCTCCTGACCTGCAGCACCCAACCTGCCCACCGCAGCACGCTGGACCACAGCCTGGCAACTGTAACCAGGTGTCCTTGCCCCACCTTTCCCTCAAGCTCCAGTGTGCAGTGCCCACATGCCCAGGTGGTAGAGGGCTGTCTCCCTCCATCCCCAGCTTGGTCCTGCTGGAACTACACAATGCCAAGTTCAAAGTGGCCCATTACAGTGTCTCAGTTTGAGGGGAATAAAAGAGTGGTCTCTGACTCCCATTTGATTTTCTTCAGGTGCCTTATATTTATTTGGTATTCCTTAAAATTGAGTGTTTTTTAAAAAAAATTTTTGGTACTAGAAATCAGTCACAACCTCAAGATTGCCAGGTAGACACTGTGCCACTAAGCTAAATCCCTGTCTTCGTTTTGTTTTGTTTTGTTGCTGTACTGGGGATTGAACCTACACTGAGCTACTTCCTTAGCCCTTTGTTATTAAAGACAAGGTCTCACTACCTCACTAAATTGCCCAGGCTGGGCTCAAACTTGTGAGCCTCCTCCTGCCTCAGCCTCCCAGAGTGCTGGGATTTATAGGAGTGTGCCACCATGCCTGGCTGGGAGATTGATTCTAAATCACTGACTTTGTGTGACAGGATAAAGTCACTCCTCCTCCAGATCCACCTCTGAGATAAATAATGGTTTGGTTTTGCATAATTCTTGTTTTTGGTGTTTGGGAATCGAACTCATGACCTCGCCCTTGCCAGGCAGGCCTTATGCCACTGAGCTAAATCCCCATCCCTGCATAATTGTTACTAACAAGAACTTTTTCAAAGCACTGCCACACCTGTCCTGTCTTTTCAGGATAAAGTGGAGGAGGAATTATCAGTATCTCACAGCCAGGTATGGAGCTCAGATAGCAAGTGATGCTTCCCAGTAAATGGTAGGCCTCTACAGAGCTCTCCTCCCTCACTGATAGGGAAACTGGGGCCAATATGTATGTCAGCTGGTCACGGTCCTGCTTAGTCATCGGTGACCCCTGGGCCACAGTGCTCCTGCTGCTCCGCTAAACCTGCAAACTACAGTGTCAGAAATGGGACACAGGTGTGCTGAGTCAAGGCTGCGGATTCCCCTGCAGGAAATGACCCAGAATGTCCTTGAGAGCCTTTCGTGCCTAAAGGAGCAGAAGGAGGGGCCACTGCAGGGCTTGGGGACTGTTACCCTGGCGGTCAGCTGGGAAATAGTTGTATATGAAAGACAAGGAAAACATGAGCCCAGGAGACCCAAATTCTTCTTGAGAATTGAAGTTGCTTTTTTCTTAATGAAATGATACAAACAAAACATTTGACCCTAAAACTCAAGACTCCCAGTTCCACAAATTACTGTTTTGTAATTTCCTGAGGTTCTACAATAGGGAGGACGCTCAGAATTTATCATATGAATCTCACAACTTAACTGTACTTAGCATTTGCCTTGTCTTCTTGCTATTCTTTTATGAAAGACAATATGCATATTAAAAAGACTTCTGAAATAAACACCATGCAGTTATTTAACAAGTCACTTGAGTAGGACACATAACCCATATTTACTAGGTACAAAAAGATACTGTAGGAGAATCAGCTACAGATAAAATGAAAAAAATCACTGTAATAATTTGAAAAACCTAAGTAACTAGATATGAACACATCTCTATATAAAAAAATATAAATATATAATGACTCAAATAAAGCATCCAAGCAGAAATAAAAATAAAGTTAAGTACTACTGAACTTTCAAAGAATTAATTTCTATTTTTTTCCAGAATATAGAGCAAGAGCTCTATATTCTGGTTTATCTGGTTTGTCTGGTTTATCTGATAAATCTAGAATAATACTGATTCTAAAATTAAAAGAAAATGATTGAAAATAAAAGTTCACAATCATTTGATCTATGCGTATAATTTAAAACTCTGAAATAAAGAATTGATTAAGTCTGACAGTGTCTTTAAAAAATACATCGTGAGCCAGGTGTGGTGCCACACACCTGAAATCCCAGGACTCTGAGAGGCTGAGGCAGGAGGATGGAAGTTTGGCCAGACTGGACAATTTAGAAACAGCCTGCTTCAAAATACAAAATTTTAAAAAAGGGCTGAGGATGTAGCTCACTCTGAAGTCCCAGTACTTAATCCCAGTACTGGAAAAAGAAAAAAAAATTATCTTGACCAAGTAGGGGTCTTTCGAGCACTGCACACATTGTGTAGCACCAGGAACTCTGTCACTGAGGGTGTCCTGGGGGCCCCGCCTGACTGTCCTTGTACTCTTTAAGGAGCAGTGGAGATGAGAATGACATCACAGTGAGGTTCAATGTTTTCTTTCTTTCTTCTGATTTTGTTTTTTTGAGACAGGATTCTCACTACGCAGTTCAGGCTGGCTTTAAGATCATGGCAGCCCTCCTGCCTCAGCTTTCCTTCCAAGTGCTGTCACCACACCCAGAGACAGAGGTTTTATAAATGACTCTTGATTCTACTGGAGAAAGACAACACATTAGTTATTTTAAAAACATGCTCTCCAAAGAAGGAAAAAAACCTTAAAGACCGTACTCTGAGGTAGAAATCTGTGAGCTGGCTGAGCTCCAGGGTGACCTGAGACAGTCAAGGCCGTGTGGGCACAGGAAGTTCCAGCGGAGCCGCTCCCTGGTGACCTCGCCTGCCTGCAGAAGGGGGCTGCAGAGACAGATGATGGGGACCCTGCGTCCTTGCCCGACCTGTCTTTTCCCATCACAACTCCTTTCCTAGTCCAGAAGCACAGTCTCTAAATGCTGAGCCTGCGCCAGCCCCAGGGGTTTGCACCCCACCTGGAACTCACCCGCACAGCTCCTTTGCTGCACCAGCATCTGCTTGAGCTCACTGAACTCGCCTGAGCCCTCAGTGGATTCCTCCAGCGCGTTTTCCTGCTCCTGCATGTCCAGGTCAGGCTGCTCCCCACAGGGGTCACCCAGCTCCGAGTCCTGGAAGCCGTGCTCCTCTACTTGTCCCATCAGGGGCTCCGGCGTCTCCAGGCTCTCCGAGCCCTCATCATTGGTCTGCACTTCGATCTTAATCACGATGCCGTCGTGTGCTGAGAGGAGGGGAGGAAGAGGCCCAGACACAGTCACAATCACAGTCACAGTCACGACCCTGCCTGGGCTTCCACAGCCGACAGTTCTCACAGAAGCCCAGGAAGCAACGCTGAGGGTAGGTACCCAGCTCTATCCGGGCACTTAATAGCCCTTAACACCAATATGGACTGGAGTCAGGTTAGAATAGATGCAAAGCTGATTCTCCTCAAACTCCACAATTATTTTTTAAAAAATTCTTTTGTGTGTTTTTTGAGATAGGGTCGCACTATGTGGCCCAGGCTGGTCTTGAACTTGCAAGGATCCTCCTGCCTCAGCCTCCTGGGTGCTGGAATTACAGGTGTGTGCCACCACACCTGGGTCCCACAATTTTTTTACTATGACTCTCACTCTTTTCCCACACTAGACAGCACGCGTCCACCCCAAGCTTCCTTCTCACGGCTCACTCACCAGAAGTAAACAAAGAGAGGGCATCAATCTCCTTACTTCTCTCACCAACCCTTCAGTCTATCTCCAAGGTGCTGGACAGACAGACAGAGACATCCAGGGCTCTCTTCCTGGCCTGCACATGTGTGGTAGCAGTGTGTTTTTACCTAAGCAGAGTTCTATTACACACTGCCTTAAAATCTATGTTTTCATGAGACAGGGTCTTGCCATGTAGTCTAGGCTGGTGATCTTACCTCAGCCTCCCAAGTGCTAGGACCACAGGCTTCTGTCACTACCCCAAAACTTATGTTTACAAAGTTGCCCACAGTTCTTTCCCTTTCAGGAGCAGTCACGGTGTCCTTGGAAAGCACAGTCTTAGTTAATTAAATTTCTCTAGTTAATTTCTTTGCTTAGACTGATAAGTGAGGTACTCAGTGTACTACATGTTCAAGCAGGACTTCCTTCTTTTTGACTATTCACTTTTTTTTTTTTTTTTTTTTTTTGAGACAGGGTTTTTTTTTGGTCTTTTTCCTTTTTTTTTTATCGGTACCAGGGATCGAACTCACGACTCCCTGCTTGCAAGGCAGGCGCTTATGCTGCTGAGCTAAATCCCCAGCCCGCCCACAGTTCTGTATATTAACTTCAAACACATTGTTACACACTTAGGCACTGTTTTACATAAAAGGGATTATAATGCACATTTTTGGCTTTTAGTGCAGGATTTCCACCTACTTTTTTTCTCTCATCATTTTGAGGCAGGGTTTTGCTGAGATTTAGACTGACCTTGAACTCACTTTGTAGCCCAGACTGGCCTGGAACTCACAGTGATCCTCCTGCTTCAGCCTCCCTAGTACTGGGATGACAGGTGTGACCAGCATGCCTGGTCTTTCCTTTTAATCGTCCCTCTCTTTCCTCTACTTCCCATTAAGATCACTCAAGTATTACTAACTGAAGAGGATTCTTCTCCATGCTTATGTAGTTATTCATATCATAACATATGATATGACATATCATATCATAAAGTTACTCATATCATATTTATATTTTCATTTTTGGCTGTTATTGCTGTTAAAATCAATGGTCCTTATGTTCCTCATTTATGTTCAAATATCTTGTAGAAGTACCTTCTATCCGACTGCATGGCACACTGTGTTCTCTTTGGATACTGTGTATACTCCAGAGTGCAGATAATACTGTGACTTCCTCCATCACCATCCACTTTGTGCTCCTAGTCTTTTGCCATGGTGAACACCACTGCAAAAAACATGTTTGTCTACATCTCTAACTATAAAGCTGAGGCTTTATTTCCATGAGATTCTCAGCAGTGGGGCTGCAGTCAAAAGGCTATAGACTTTCAATGTCGGTGGAAGTTACCAGACCACATTTCTATAAGGTGCTGACTGCATATTTTTACTGGTCTAAAGGTCACTTGTCCCTCCCAGCAAGAGACACATTGCTTACTTTCACTTTCTTCAGCCAAATATAAAATGATAATTGACTGATACTTTAATTCCCATCAGAGTAAATTTATGTGTTTCTGACATTTGATTTTGTGTGAACTACAAATGCATAGCTTTTGACTCAGTTTCATTTTGGCTGCTTTTTTCTTATCAATTTGTCAACAATGTGTCACTTTATTTTTGTGGCTCCTGGATTTTCTGTCCTACCTAAGGTCTCTTCTGGTCCTAGATGGTTCATTTGATCTCCTAGATTTGGACCCAATGTTTAAATTGTCTTATTAGTGTTCAGGCCTTCAATATTCCTGAGAGTTATTTATATTTTGTATATGGTATGAGACAGGGGATTATTTTCTTCTATATGGATAGATGGATGCCAGCCATCAACTCCCTTATATGCTAAAAACCACTTCTTCAGTTGGGGAATTATAAATGAATAAAGCGTAAACTATGAACAGACCATAGCACCAAATGTACACCATGACTTACGATGCATCCGTGAACAAAGCACACATATTACATAAAACAACAAATGATAAATATGGTGAGTATTGTGGGGGGGAAAGGAAGGAAACCAGGAAAGCAAAGCAGGAAGCAGACACAGTCCTGCCCTTGCAAAGCCTCCTTACATTCTTCTACTCTGTACCTTCTTTCCCAGTCTAACTCAGGCATTGGCCCTGAGAACTCAGACTAACCTATCTGGCTGAACCTGGATGTTCTGTGAAAGTGTGCTGAACCATGGCATGTGTGCCACTGCTGGCTGTTTGTTTCCATGAAAGCACTACCAGGTTTGCCCTCTCTCTGACCTCAAGATGGGTTGCTGGTGAGGCTGGGCGATCTTTTGTTTCTCCCCGACAGCCCAATGGAGTTGCTGGAAGAAGATGGAACATAAAGTTCCATCCCTAACCTTCCCTTGGTGCTGCCAGCCTTCAGTGCAGACTCATGTTACTTTCCCAGGACAGAGGACACCTCCCACTCTCGCTCTCCAGACACTCCAGGAAAGACAGGAAAAGACAAAGTCACCCACACTGACATCCCTGCCTTCCTCTGTTCAGCTGGAAGACACTGACTTTGCCCTGCTGTGCTTTGGGGATGTCTGAGCATGTGCCCCAGAGTTTGTGCTGGGAAGCTTGGTCCCAGTGTAATGGCACTGAGGTGCTGCAGGCGGAGGTGTAAGAGATAAAGCTGGGAGTTGGAAAAAGCTGGACGCTGCAAAGGAGCAGGCCAGTTCTCCTAATGTCTTGCCTCCTGCCTGGCCAGGAGCCCACTTCCTCTCTTCTGCACTCCTCCTGTGATGCCACCTGCCGTGGTGTGATGCAATCAGAGGCCTTCACCAGAGACCAGCAGGTGCTGCACCAAGCTCTCAGCCTCCAATGTGGAGCTAACTAAATCTGTGTTCTGTCTTGAGTACCAAGCATCAGAAATGTTGTTATAGCAACACACAGTGGACCACCGTTCCACCCTCTCTGCTCCAATCTCAGGAGAAGCTGAGTCCTGCCCCCTCCTCCTTTAACTTACAGCCTCTGCTTGGTTCCTTAATCCTGCCCACATCCTCCACCTGGAAGTCTGCCCTATGAGTTGTGCCCTCTTCTCATCTGTCTTTAGTCCATGTCCCCATACTTACTCATTACGTCCCCTTCACAAATATGACTGCACAAACTCTTGTTTAGTTTTGGAATAGGGTCTCGCTATGTAGTCCAGGCCTGCCTTCAACTCACTATCTAGCCCAGGTTGGCCTCTAGGCATCCTCCTGCCTCAGCTTCCTAGTGCTGGAATTACAGGTGTGTACCACCATGCCTGGCTATAAATTCTTAAAAATATTTCACTTGCCTACTCCCTTAATTTCTCAAAACCGTGCACTCCTTGGTACCTTCCTGGATATCTAAAATGCATCAGTAACTGCAAAAGATGTAGTTTCCAGAGTACTGTAAAAATTGGTATTTTGAAATAAACTTTCCCTTCATCCCTTTATGGCTCTAATGGAATTTAAGAATGCTAGCAATTAAAAACTCACCGTTATTTACTTAGAAACTACATGAACAAGTTCTTCTTTGAGAGCTGGAATTTTGTATCATTCCCTTTTCATTCTGAACTTCTATATCTATTTCCACTTTGCCTACAGAATAAAACATATTTTTATGCTCAGAAGCCTTTTGCCAATCACCTCATCTGCCATAAAAATGTGTTTGCAAATTGAAAGTTTACTCTTGCCTTCATTTCTAATAAACAGGGCTCCAGGTGTTTATTTGCTTCCTGGCTAAATTTATCAATTATGATTATAACTACAGAATGACAATCAATCATCCAAGAAAGAAAACAAAAAACTTTAGGAAATGAACCCCTTATCAGAATGGACAGGAAATTTTTCTCCAATCCATCTGCTTATCTGAGAATGAGTATGTGTTTCTACTATATCAGGAAATGGAGTTCAGAACGGATTCTATTCTGCTTTTCATCTTACCAGTATTCTGATGGGCTAAAGGCACTCTGCTATGAAGCTGCCTTTTTTTTCGGTACCAGGAATCGAACTCAGGACCTTGTACTTGCCAGGCAGGTGCTGTGTGCCTGAGGTATATCCCCTATCACATGAAGCTATCTCTTGATCCTCTGAATTTATCCTGAATTATTATATGCCACCAAAATCACGTGGTTAAAAATCTTCTAAAACTATTCTTATGCTGAGGGTATGGTTCAATGGTAGAGCACTTTCCTAGCATGTAAAAGGGCCTGGATTCAAACCCCAGCACTATCCAAAAGAAAAAAAAAGTATCTTAAAATGACAACAACCCCCCCTCAAAACAAAATTATCTTATAAATAATCTTTGTTTTCTGTTTTTGTCTTTTTGAAACAGGGTTAGTTCAAGCTGGCCTTGAACTCCCAGAATTTCCCTACCTCAGCCTCTCATGTGCTGGGATTATAAGCATGTGGCAGCATGCCCAACAAAACTATTTAAAAAAAAAGACAGTGAAAAAAATTTTTTTTTTGGTACTGAGGGATCAAATTCATGACCTTGTGCTTGCCAGGCAGGTGCTTGTGCCCCTGAGTTAAACCCCCAGCCTTTTTTTTTTTTTTGAAAATTGTTCTTAACAGCCTATTAGCTGACAACGTGATTAGGTTC